TTTATCAACATTTAGAAATTATCGCGAAAGTTTCTCGCAAATCTGTATATTATGTATTATATCTCTATTATATACTGTACTTTTTGTTGTTGAATTTGGCACGGATTTGTGTTGGAGAGCAGCCATGATGCCTTAACAAACAACATGAATAATATAATATAATAATACCGTAGAACAACATGAGAGAGTAATTACTGACAGAATTTTCATATTTGGGTGAACGAACCCTTTAAGCGGAGTGTGTGAATGTGTCGGCAGCTCACTCGTGTGTGTAACCGTGCCTGTGCTGTGGTGTGTGTGGAGTGTGTGAATGTGTCGGCAGCTCACTTGTGTTCGTGTGTGTAACCGTGCCTGTGCTGTGGTGTGTGTGGAGTGTGTGAATGTGTCGGCAGCTCACTCGTGTGTATAACCGTGCCTGTGCTGTGGTGTGTGTGGAGTGTGTGAATGTGTCGGCAGCTCACTTGTGTTCGTGTGTGTAACCGTGCCTGTGCTGTGGTGTTTCGAGAGTGTGTGTGGAGTGTGTATAACCGCAGTGTTTCCCCTACCATTGTTTTGGCCCGCCCCCCCCAAAACGACCCCCCGCCCCCCCTAAATTGCTGACGAAATCCAGTCATAAAAAAGAAATTTACTGTATAACGCGGAATTTCATGGAATTTGTCAATCTTTTGAGGAATAAATAGAAAGCAGTTCAGTATACACTTGAAATCAAATCGCGATGTAGACTAGTGTGTGTGGATATTAAACCACAAAGACAATTTAAATACGAATCCTGCTTGTTCTGTGTGAATGAATGGTGCAGCCGACGCGCAGTTTCATTTACCACACACACACACACACACACACACACACACTGAAGCACGTGTGACGCTTGCGCTGTTTTTTGCCTATATGAAGACACAAATGCATAAACTTCCTCTCCAGGCTCTAGATCCACTCCTAAAGTCACTTCGTGATCATTTCACCGCTTCATTTGAGAAAAACTATCATTATGACAAACACACAAACTCAAAAGGTCTTCACGGCAACCCGTCAAAATAAAAGTTCGCTTTAACTTGACAGAAATATATTACCGTTGTACAGTAGAATTTAGATATGTCCCAATGTAATAATACTAACACTAATCCAAATAAATTATCATCAAAACTGAATTTTTTAAGGAATAATCTATGTTTTAATTTTAACAGTAAAGCTCATTGTGCAGCACGGTATTTGACAAAAAGTTTAATTTCATATGATTAAAATCGATGATAAATGATACAATTTGTGTTTTATGTCTTCATTTTATTACCAGAAAAAACACAACACAGAATTAGTGTGAAATTATTATTATTATTTTTTTTTTTAAATGTTGTATACGTTTAATGATTCATAATACACTATTTCAATTAATTAGACATGCTTTTTGATTGCTAAAAAATGTACACCACGTATCCGTAACACGCCCGCTCCGCAACACTAGCAGTCCCCCCCCCCCCCCCCCCCTGAAAAAAAATCCTAGGGGAAACACTGTAACCGTGCTGTGCTGTGTGTCGAGAGTGTGTGTGGAGTGTGTATAATCGTGCCTGTGCTGTGCTGTGTGTCGAGAGTGTGTGTGGAGTGTGTATAATCGTGCCTGTGCTGTGGTGTGTCGAGAGTGTGTGTGGAGTGTGTATAACCGTGCTGTGCTGTGGTGTGTGTCGAGTGTGTGGAGTGTGTATTACTGTGCTGTGGTGTGTCAAGTGTGTGTTCGTGTGTATAACTGTGCTGTGGTGTGTGTTCGTGTGTATAACTGTGCTGTGGTGTGTGTTCGTGTGTATAACTGTGCTGTGGTGTGTCGAGTGTGTGTTCGTGTGTATAACTGTGCTGTGGTGTGTGTTCGTGTGTATAACTGTGCTGTGGTGTGTGTGGTGTGTGTTCGTGTGTATAACTGTGCTGTGGTGTGTGTTCGTGTGTATAACTGTGCTGTGCTGTGGTGTGTCGAGTGTGTGTTCGTGTGTATAACTGTGCTGTGGTGTGTCGAGTGTGTGTTCGTGTGTATAACCGTGCTGTGCTGTGGTGTGTGTCGAGTGTGTGTTCGTGTGTATAACCGTGCTGTGCTGTGGTGTGTGTCGAGTGTGTGTTCGTGTGTATAACCGTGCTGTGCTGTGGTGTGTGTCGAGTGTGTGTTCGTGTGTATAACTGTGCTGTGGTGTGTCGAGTGTGTGTTCGTGTGTATAACTGTGCTGTGGTGTGTGTTCGTGTTTATAAATGTGCTGTGCTGTGGTGTGTCGAGTGTGTGTTCGTGTGTATAACCGTGCTGTGCTGTGGTGTGTCGAGTGTGTGTTCGTGTGTATAACTGTGCTGTGGTGTGTCGAGTGTGTGTTCGTGTGTATAACCGTGCTGTGCTGTGGTGTGTCGAGTGTGTGTTCGTGTGTATAACCGTGCTGTGCTGTGGTGTGTGTCGAGTGTGTGTTCGTGTGTATAACCGTGCTGTGCTGTGGTGTGTGTCGAGTGTGTGTTCGTGTGTATAACTGTGCTGTGGTGTGTCGAGTGTGTGTTCGTGTGTATAACTGTGCTGTGGTGTGTGTTCGTGTGTATAACTGTGCTGTGGTGTGTGTTCGTGTGTATAACTGTGCTGTGGTGTGTGTGTATAACTGTGCTGTGGTGTGTGTTCGTGTGTATAACTGTGCTGTGCTGTGGTGTGTGTCGAGTGTGTGTTCGTGTGTATAACCGTGCTGTGCTGTGGTGTGTGTCGAGTGTGTGTTCGTGTGTATAACTGTGCTGTGGTGTGTGTTCGTGTGTATAACTGTGCTGTGGTGTGTGTGGTGTGTGTTCGTGTGTATAACTGTGCTGTGGTGTGTGTTCGTGTGTATAACTGTGCTGTGGTGTGTGTTCGTGTGTATAACTGTGCTGTGGTGTGTGTTCGTGTGTATAACTGTGCTGTGGTGTGTGTTCGTGTGTATAACTGTGCTGTGGTGTGTGTTCGTGTTTATAACTGTGCTGTGGTGTGTGTTCGTGTGTATAACTGTGCTGTGGTGTGTGTTCGTGTGTATAACTGTGCTGTGGTGTGTGTTCGTGTGTATAACTGTGCTGTGGTGTGTGTGTATAACTGTGCTGTGGTGTGTGTTCGTGTGTATAACTGTGCTGTGGTGTGTCGAGTGTGTGTTCGTGTGTATAACTGTGCTGTGGTGTGTGTTCGTGTGTATAACTGTGCTGTGGTGTGTCGAGTGTGTGTTCGTGTGTATAACTGTGCTGTGGTGTGTGTTCGTGTGTATAACTGTGCTGTGGTGTGTGTGGTGTGTGTTCGTGTGTATAACTGTGCTGTGGTGTGTGTTCGTGTGTATAACTGTGCTGTGGTGTGTCGAGTGTGTGTTCGTGTGTATAACTGTGCTGTGGTGTGTGTATAACTGTGCTGTGGTGTGTGTTCGTGTGTATAACTGTGCTGTGGTGTGTGTATAACTGTGCTGTGGTGTGTGTTCGTGTGTATAACTGTGCTGTGGTGTGTGTTCGTGTGTATAACTGTGGTGTGGTGTGTCGAGTGTGTGTTCGTGTGTATAACTGTGCTGTGGTGTGTGTGGTGTGTGTTCGTGTGTATAACTGTGCTGTGGTGTGTGTTCGTGTGTATAACTGTGGTGTGTGTGGTGTGTGTTCGTGTGTATAACTGTGGTGTGGTGTGTGTGGTGTGTGTTCGTGTGTATAACTGTGCTGTGGTGTGTGTTCGTGTGTATAACTGTGCTGTGGTGTGTCGAGTGTGTGTTCGTGTGTATAACTGTGCTGTGGTGTGTGTATAACTGTGCTGTGGTGTGTGTTCGTGTGTATAACTGTGCTGTGGTGTGTGTATAACTGTGCTGTGGTGTGTGTTCGTGTGTATAACTGTGCTGTGGTGTGTGTTCGTGTGTATAACTGTGCTGTGGTGTGTGTTCGTGTGTATAACTGTGCTGTGGTGTGTGTATAACTGTGCTGTGGTGTGTGTTCGTGTGTATAACTGTGCTGTGGTGTGTGTTCGTGTGTATAACTGTGCTGTGGTGTGTGTATAACTGTGCTGTGGTGTGTGTTTGTGTGTATAACTGTGCTGTGGTGTGTGTTCGTGTGTATAACTGTGCTGTGGTGTGTGTTCGTGTGTATAACTGTGCTGTGGTGTGTGTATAACTGTGCTGTGGTGTGTGTTCGTGTGTATAACTGTGCTGTGGTGTGTGTATAACTGTGCTGTGGTGTGTGTTCGTGTGTATAACTGTGCTGTGGTGTGTCGAGTGTGTGTTCGTGTGTATAACTGTGCTGTGGTGTGTGTTCGTGTGTATAACTGTGCTGTGGTGTGTCGAGTGTGTGTTCGTGTGTATAACTGTGCTGTGGTGTGTGTGGTGTGTGTTCGTGTGTATAACTGTGCTGTGGTGTGTGTTCGTGTGTATAACTGTGCTGTGGTGTGTCGAGTGTGTGTTCGTGTGTATAACTGTGCTGTGGTGTGTGTTCGTGTGTATAACTGTGCTGTGGTGTGTCGAGTGTGTGTTCGTGTGTATAACTGTGCTGTGGTGTGTGTCGAGTGTGTGTTCGTGTGTATAACTGTGCTGTGGTGTGTCGAGTGTGTGTTCGTGTGTATAACTGTGCTGTGGTGTGTCGAGTGTGTGTTCGTGTGTATAACTGTGCTGTGGTGTGTCGAGTGTGTATAACTGTGCTGTGGTGTGTCGAGTGTGTATAACTGTGCTGTGGTGTGTGTGGTGTGTGTTCGTGTGTATAACTGTGCTGTGGTGTGTGTTCGTGTGTATAACTGTGCTGTGGTGTGTCGAGTGTGTGTTCGTGTGTATAACTGTGCTGTGGTGTGTGTTCGTGTGTATAACTGTGCTGTGGTGTGTGTGGTGTGTGTTCGTGTGTATAACTGTGCTGTGGTGTGTGTTCGTGTGTATAACTGTGCTGTGGTGTGTCGAGTGTGTGTTCGTGTGTATAACTGTGCTGTGGTGTGTGTTCGTGTGTGTAACTGTGCTGTGGTGTGTGTATAACTGTGCTGTGGTGTGTGTGTTCGTGTGTGTAACTGTGCCTGTGCTGTGCTCCAGATGTTCCTGACGGTGTACCTCAGTAATAACGACCAGCACTTCAGCGAGGTGCCGATCACGCCGGAGACGGTGTGTGCTGATGTGCTGGAGCTGTGCCGAGGCCCCGGGGACAGCAGCTGCTATCTGGCGGAGGTGTGGCGAGGCTCCGGTGAGAACCGCTGCACACACACACACACGCAGGGTTTGAGATCAGCTGGCGGGAAACACTGTCAAATCACGAGCCAGTTTGCCGTTACTTATTATGTTTACTCACTTTTGCTGGGGAAGTTCGAGTAAGACAAATCTTCACAGGTTTAGCACAAACACTGAGTCCTCGTGATGTATTAAATACAGCGTACTGCACAGATCTGCTCATATCTGGCTTACTTGAACACACACACGTCACTACACAACTAATAACGGCTCGCTGCAATAGTGAAGATTAAAGAGCATTTGGTGAACAGAAAAGACTTATTTAGTTGCTTGCCAAATTGACCGGTAAGTGAAAAAGTGAATGTCAAACCCTGATCACACACACAGAAACATCTTCACTCTGTAAACTGCTAGTAAATGTCACAATTAAATTACAAAGAAATGGCAAGTAACACATTCACATTTCTGTGGCAAAAAAAAAACATTTCACACACACACACACCCACACACCTGAAGGGGGTTTATTCTGAGATAACACACACACACACACACACACACACACACACACACACATACACACCTGAAGGGGGTTTATTCTGAGATAACACACACACACACACACACACACCTGAAGGGGGTTTATTCTGAGATAACACACACACACACACACACACACACCTGAAGGGGGTTTATTCTGAGATAACACACACACACACACCTGAAGGGGTTTATTCTGAGATAACACACACACACACACACACCTGAAAGGGGTTTATTCTGAGATAACACACACACACACACACACACCTGAAGGGGGTTTATTCTGAGATAACACACACACACACCTGAAAGGGGTTTATTCTGAGATAACACACACACACACCTGAAGGGGGTTTATTCTGAGATAACACACACACACACACACACCTGAAAGGGGTTTATTCTGAGATAACACACACACACACACACACCTGAAGGGGGTTTATTCTGAGATAACACACACACACACACACACACACCTGAAAGGGGGTTTATTCTGAGATAACACACACACACACACCTGAAGGGGTTTATTCTGAGATAACACACACACACACACCTGAAAGGGGTTTATTCTGAGATAACACACACACACACACCTGAAGGGGGTTTATTCTGAGATAACACACACACACACACACACACACCTGAAGGGGTTTATTCTGAGATAACACACACACACCTGAAGGGGTTTATTCTGAGATAACACACACACACACCTGAAGGGGTTTATTCTGAGATAACACACACACACACCTGAAGGGGTTTATTCTGAGATAACACACACACACACACACACACCTGAAGGGGTTTATTCTGAGATGGCCGGCTGAATGTACATTATCACACTTATCACGCGGATTCTTGCCACGTAAGTAAATAATTAGATAATATTATTTGCCCCGTAGTGTAAAATAAAATATTTCTTTCTAAAGCTGCATTCGTAATGCTTTTCCCTTCAAACACAATAATATCTTTATCTTTGGGGTTATTTCTCAGCCAAATTTGATCTGCGATTCATTTGCGCTAAATTTAATTGATTAATCGTCACGTCATATAATTAGTTAGATTAAAATGTTAATTGCTAATATAAGTGTGTGTGTGTGTGTGTGTGTGTGTGTGTGTGCAGAGCGTGCTGTAGGGGAGAGTGAGAAGATGATGGATCTGCTGATACAGTGGGGACAGACGAGACCTGAGGTTCGGTTCTTCCTGCGTCATGGCAGAGCATCAGGTACGCCACGCTTCAGACCACTGATCTCACAGCAGTCGCGCGCTTCACAATCTCCTGATGATTTACTCTCCTCCACGTCCTCCAAGATGTTCATGACTTTCTTTCTTCAGTGGAAAAGAAATGAAGGTTTTTGAGGAACACACTCCAGGGTTTCTCCATATAGTGTCTTCAATGGGGTCCAACGGGTCGAAGGTCCAGATGTGAGTTTCAGTGCAGCTTCAAAGTCTCGACACGATCCAGCCGAGGAATAAGAGTCTGATCTAGACAAACCAGCGGACATTTATAACAAAATACACATTTATATACTTTTAACCACTAATGCTGGTCTTGCACGTCCACGACTTCACGCACAACGTAATCAGGGTGAAAGCTGATGTAGGCGGAAAATGTATGCAATTTTCTTCTCCGACTTCAAAATCGTCCGACATCATTGGTTGACCTTTATTTATTTATTTATTTTGTAAATGGCGTTTGACTCAGTCTTTGCACGTTCTCTTTGTAAACACTGGGTCTGTTCTTCCTCCTACGTCCCGCTTGACCTTTCACCCTGATTGCGTAATGTGTGTCGCATCACAGCTCCTGCAAGACCAGCATTAGTGGTTAAAGTATATAAATGTGTATTTTGTTATAAATGTCCGCTGGTTTGTCTAGATCAGACTCTTATGGCTCGTTTCCACTGAGGCGTACAGTACGGGTCGGGTCGGGTCGGTACAGCATGATCCGGCTAGCGTTTCCACTGCCAACAGTACCCTTACTTGATAGGCGTGGTGTTTGCCGGAAAGAAGCGATCGACGTCATTTTCGCGCGAAGAAAGCGACATAGTAAACAACAATGGACGACAGACAGCAGATCTTGTTCTTGCTTCTCGGCATGTTTGTCACAAGAAACGAGCGCTGGCATTAGGCGTTTCTCAATACCAAGTAGCCACGCAAAGTCCGACTCAGGAGAATGATCCCGAGGACGCGAGTCCAGTAATTCTGCTAATGGAACAGCGCGTTCTTGAATGCCGACTCAGCTCGCTCTGCTACTCTTATATACATTTTAGGCAACAATAAAACGAACTATGTTACAAAACACCACTCTGCTTCTTTTCGATTTAATTTAAATACATTTTAAACATAAGCACACAAATGTGGTTCAGGCAACGCAGCCTATTGATGATATTCAATGTATGTAACGTTATATTTATAACAAAACTAAATATAAAACACAATCCTGCCTCTTTTCGTTTAAATTTAAAAATATTAAACATATTCCAGGCAATGTATTGCATATTGCATTGGTACAAATGTTGCAATAAACAACATCACTGATGATCTTGTAATAAAATAAAAAAATTACAAAACTATCTATTTTTGTTGAATTTCAGTTTTATCAATAATAGCCATTATAAAAGTATAAGTAAAAGGTACAAAAAGATATACAGTAAAGCTTTAATAACATAAAGCAAACAATTCAGTCAAATATACAAATTCAGCGCTCAAATATATGAAACTTCACTTAGCCTTCTGCCAAAACTATTGGCCAGGGAACGAATTATAGATTCACGAGACCAAAGATCGCCTGTTAGGTCTGTACAAGACGAATTATATCTCATGTTTAACCACTACAGAGACGTCAGAGTCAGCGGCAAACATCAGAATGACTAGCCGGGGAAAGGCTGCTCCAGGCGGGGTGCACGAGCGCCGAGCGCCCGGTGATTGCTTGGAATGGATCTTCAAATTATCATAAATCTATAAATAAACCACAGATTTGAGCTTTAAAAAACTACTTTCTCGCCTGAAAAACTCTTAAAACTACATTTTGTGACACAATAACAGTAGTATTATATTTCAACTGTATGCTTGTAATGCCCTTGTAGCACGCGCAAGTGACGATACTCTGTCAACCAATCAACGTTTTGCAGTGAGTCTAGCTCCACCCTTTAGTACCGTACCACTGTGCTAGGTACCCCAACGGAAGGGTACCCAAAAAGTGGTACGGTACGGTTCGGCTTTTTGGTACCATTCACAACTTTTGACAGTGGAAACGCAAATAATTGCGTTCCGAACCGAACTGTACCGTACCGCTCAGTGGTAACGAGGCATTATTCCTCGGCTGGATCGTGTCGAGACTTTGAAGCTGCACTGAAACTCACATCTGGACCTTCGACCCGTTGGACCCCATTGAAGACACTATATGGAGAAACCCTGGAGTGTGTTCCTCAAAAACATTCATTCCTTTTCACTGAAGAAAGAAAGACATGAACATCTTAGAGGACGTGGAGGAGAGTAAATCATCAGGAGATTTTAATTCTGAAGTGAACTCCTCCTTGAAACCAGACTCAGACTTTGGGAGTTTTACACCGATTTATCCCAGATTTACCCCTCCCGAAAGAGTCTTGTGAGGAGTTTACAGATCAAGCCTCCCGATCTGATACAGCCTCTGATGCTAAAAGAACAGATGTTTTGTGCAGTATAGCTGTGGTTGAGCGTGTGCTTGTGTTTCAGACTCCAGGAGTCAGAAGAGGAGCGTGAAGAAACCCTCAGACAGACGCGCGGAGAACGGGGTGAGTTTCACTCGCTTTCAAGCGCGATCCGGCGTTCTGTGACGAGCTCTTGTGAAACTATGAGAGGAATGCAGTCGAGCAGGAAACGGAGGAGTGTTTACTGAAGTGTGTGTGTGTGTGTGTGTGCAGGTGAGCGGCCCGCGGATGGACATGACGCTAGCGGAGCTGCAGGAGATGGCGGCTAAACAACAGCGTCAGATCGACACGCAGCAGCAGCTCCTGGCCTCAAAGGTACACCAGCAAACCTCTCAGGGTGGAGGACACGTGAACAACTTCTCATTTCATGAGTAGTGTTTTAATATATATATATATACACTACCATTCAAAAGTTTGGGATCGTTAAGATTTTTTATGTTTTTAAAACAAGTCTCTTCTGCTCATCAAGGCTGCATTTATTTAATTAAAAATATCAGTAATAGTAACAGTACCAGTAATAGACAATAAACAGTAACAATAATATGTTTTTTTTTTACTTTCTATTCATCAAAGTATCGTGACATTTTTATACACAACTGTTTTCAACACTGATAATAATCATAAGTCTTGAGCATCAGATCATCATATTAGAGTGATTTCTGAAGGATCATGTGACACTGAAGACTGGAGTAATGATGCTGGAAATACAGGAATAAATGACACTTTACTGTATATTCACATAGAAAACAGATGATTTACATTAGAATAATATGTCACCAATATTTTTTTTTTTTTGCATTTTAATTTAATAAATAAAGCCTTGGTGAGCTTAAGAGACTTGTTTTAAAAACATAAAAAATGTTACCGATCCCAAACCTGCTAAAATGCACAAAAAAGTGATTGTTTTCACTGTTTGTAACCTTACAAACAGTCAGGTTACCCACGCTTCTTTAAAGTGCTTGACATTCAGACATGTTGATTCAAGGACTGGAAAGTCTGTAAAAACAAACACCTCGAAAGTGCTTGAATTAAACATGAACTAAATTTTGTTAGAGTAGTACGGTGCTATTTACAAAAATTGGCCTTTGTGCTCTGCCAAAGCCAGAACGAAACAGCGGATCGGAGGGAAAATGGGGAAAAAAAACAAAAAAATGGTTAATCAAAGTAATTATTCCAAGGATTAATGCCTAATAAAGCAGCGTTTATATCCGCAAGTTGCTTTGTTACAGAGAAAACCAATTTATTTCTGCTGTTCCTTAAGCGCCACCTACTGACAGATTCGCATTTTCTCTCAGAACTTCTGCTGTTTTTCTGACCCATACTTTTACTCATCTTACACTTAGTGTTGTAAATGATAACTGGTGGATTAATAAGAAGCTAATGTGCTTTCAAAAAATGTAGAATTAAAAGTTATCTTGAATATTATTTTAAATGAATATGTATGATGGTTTATAATAGAATAACTGTTTTCTCCAGAGCGGCTATTAGGGGTGGAACGGTACACAGAAGTCACGGTTCGGTTCATACCTCGGTTCAGACGTCACGGTTCGGTACGATTTCGGTACAATGGAATAGCAAAACAAAAATGCAGAAGGCTTTTTTATAAATGTCTTAAGCTTTGTATTTTTATTAATAAAGGCATAGAACCAGTTTATTTGTAGTGCACTGACAGTAGTTTTATATAATTAGTTTATTAATTAAATTATTAAAAAGACGAAAAGACCTTGAGATATGTTTGGTAATTGTACCTGAATGAATTTAAAATTAATTAGCTATTTCAGATCAATATATTTGTTTTCCTTCATTTTAATTAACCCTAACTTTATTCTCATCTGAATTATAAATAATTGACTTCCGTATAAAATAATACTACCATTAAAAACTTTTGTTAACAGTTGTAGGTTACAGTTTGACAAGAGTTTAGAGTGTGACAAAAGCACAATGTTGTGTTTTATTGTGAGTGTACACAAATATAAGTAAACAATTTGCAGTTTTAATGATGTCCTGTATGAAAAAAATGACGGAGTATGTTTTTATGTTTCCACTGTTTGATCGCCCGTGCCTCTCTCACACACACACACACACACACACACACACACACACACACACACACACACACACACACACACACACACACACACACAGTTCGATCGCGCGGGATTCGCGCCCGCGCCTCTCTCTCTCTCTCTCTCTCTCTCTCTCTCTCTCTCGCACGCGCGCGCACACACTGTTCGATCGCGCCTCTCTCTCTCTCACACACACACACTGTTAATCGCGCCTCTCTCTCTCTCTCGCGCGCACACACACACAAACACTGTTAATCGCGCCTCTCTCTCTCTCTCTCTCTCTCTCTCTCTCTCTCTCTCTCTCTCTCTCTCTCTCTCTCTCTCTCTCTCGCGCACGCGCACGCGCACACACACTCCAGCATTCCAATCTTGATCGCAGCCTGTTCATTGCTGCGTTCACAGTCACACCAAAAGCGAATAGAGCGAAATGTATCGCTATTTAAGAGTTTTTTTTTTATTTGTACCGTGTATTCTCCGTGCAAATTCGTGCACCGAACCGTGACGCCCGTACCGTTTCGGTTCAATACGAATACATGTACCGTTCCACCCCTAGCGGCTATATATATAAATGAACTAAATAACTTTTTTACAACAAAAATGTACCATCCCTGAACTTACTTAAGCTGGACTGTGACGCTAATTTCTTTATTTTCGCATTGATTTCCTGTTATCTCTGTAAAGCTGCGTTGAAACACTCTGTGTTGTAAAAAGCACTATATAAACAAAGGTGACTTGACTATAAATTTGACTCATCCCTTTTCTTAAAAAAAAAAAAGAAGAAGGTTTTATAGCCTGAAATGTGAGATTGATCATTTTATAAAACTATTAGTTTTTGTCAAAGCCTGTATTATTTGAGCTGTTGTTTAAATCATAATTTTTACATTTATTAAATTTTTTCGATATATAGATCTGGCTTGTGCTGGTCTTAAAAGTCCTTAAGTGTCCGGCAAAAGCCCCCGGGATGAGATGGTCTGTGATGTCCTCTGTGTGTGTGTTTCAGGAGCAGCGTGTGGTTCTCCTGAGGCAGCAGGAGCTCAGGCACCAGCAGGCGAGGTCTGAGCAGCAGAAGCTCCAGCATCTGAGGAGCGCGGTGGAGAAGCAGGAGGAGCAGCTGAAGGCGGTGCGAGCACTGAAGGGGCAGGTCGAGCAGAAGCGCATCAGCAACGGCAAACTGGGTGAGCCTCGCAGATCACGCTTCTCCTGCGAAACGTCTCGGTTACTTGCGTAACCCATGTTCTCTGAGAACGAGAGGCTGCGTAGCGATGACGCAATGGGAACGCTCTTAGGGCGGTGCAGATTGTCTGAACCCATATAGAATACAGTCACTCACTACGCTACGTCACTCACTCTTATACAGTGAACGCGCATCTGCTCCTCAGATTTTCATCCGAAGACGAAGAAGCTCCTTCAGCAGTGAGAGGGGCTTGGCAGCGAACGCAGCGTCTCATTCGCTATTCAGAGAACATGGGTTACGCAAGTAACCTGAGACGTTCTCTTTCATAGGTTCACTCAATGCTGCGTAGCGATGACGCAATGGGAACAATACACCACACACGCCAAGCTTAGCGCTCCCGGATCTGGCCCAACAAGGAACTCTCCTTTAGCTTTTTTTTTTTTTTTTGAGCCAGACCAAACTCAATTAGGACCCAAGCGACCAGTTCATATGGAAAGAACCCGGGAACTGGGGCCGCATCTAATTCCAAGTTATAAAACCTGATAAAAGTGTGCGGAGAGGACCAACCTGCCGCCACACAAATATCTTCTAAAGGAACTCCCTTAAAAAGAGCCTGGGAAGATGCGATACTCCTAGTAGAGTGAGCTTTAACGCCCAGAGGTGAAGGAAGCTTCCGCACCTCATAAGCCAAAGAAATTGCGTCTCTCATCCAGGGAGAGATCCTGTGCTTGAGGCGGCGAGCCCTTGGCGGCCGGCCCCAAAGTATACAAACAACTGAGACGACTTGCGCCACTGGCTGGAGCGGTCCATATATGCCTTTAAAGCCCAAACAGGGCAAAGCAAATAATGCTTTTACTCCTTCGCAGTGGTGCTGCCATGTTGTCCGTGATGACAATGACATGACAGCCCATCAGGTCCAGAAGAAAGTGATCCAGGGAACCAACTCTAGGCAATTTATGTGCCACGAGAGAAGCTCGCCCGTCCAAACACCGCACGCCGGTCTGCTCTCGAAGACCGCACCCCAACCAGCCAAAGAGGCGTCCGTCGTGACAACCTGGCAACGGCAGACTACGTCCATCTTAACCCCTTGAAGCAAAAAGGGGTGTCTTTCCACCTCCAAAGAGCACGAAGGCAACTTTGCGACACTCTTAGCAGGCGGAAGGCAGACCAAGAAGGGAGGATGCCCCTGAGTTTCATCCACTACACTAATGGTCTCATATGAAGGAGACCCAAAGGCAGCACAGGAGAGGCTGCTGCCATGAGCCCCAGAAGCCTGCGACATACGCCCACCGCAACATGATGGCCGGACGGAGACTGAAAACTCGAGCAGTGGCCAGACGGGCATGCATCGAGAGAGAATGGAGTTGGACACCCAGGAAAGTGGTCTGCTGAGAAGGAGCTAAGACACTCTTCTGAGCATTCAACCTGAGACCAAGAGACCGGAGGTAGTGGAGAAGGACGTCCCTGTGAAAACACACCAACTCTCTGGAATGAGCCAGAATGAGCCAGTCGTCTAGATAATTTAGCACACGGATGCCCTGGAGCCTCAAGGGGGCCAGAGCTGCATCCATGCACTTGGAGAACGTCCGCGGAGCCAAAGCTAGAACAAATGGAAGGACCCGATACTGGTACACCTTTCCCCCAAAGGCGAACCGGGGGAACTTCCTGTGCCGTGGAATGACCTGGATGTGGAAATATGCGTCCTTCAGGTCCACCGTGACGAACCAGTCCCCTGTTCGAATCTGCGCCAGGATAGTTTTTAACGTCAGCATCTTGCACTTCCCTGTGTAGAGGGAAAAATTCAGGCAATGCAGGTCCAAAATGGGGCGCAGACCCAGAAGAGAAAGTTGTGGCTGAAGAAGCCGCGGTCCAATTCTGAAGAAGGAACCTCCTCTATCGCTCCCTTCAGGAGGAGGGACAGTACTTCTTGCTGCAGAACAGAAGCTTCTAGGCCGCTGTTCGTGACAGTGGGGTAAACCTATCGACGCAAGGAGGGTTGCGGCGGAACTGGAGTGTGTATCCGAATTGGATTGTGCGGAGAACCCAGTGGACACACCTGGCGGAAGTCTCCAGTCACCAGACTCCCTGTGTGTCTGCCAGCAAGAGGTGGTGGGCACAGAGCTAAAGCAACTGGAGGAGGCCCTGAGGCGTCCTCTGACTGAAGATTGGCCCACAGGGGTCACTGAGGAGGTCTCTCTCATTCCGGGGTCTAGCATAGAGGCTGGAGCATTCAACACGGGGAGAAAGCCAGATGCGTCTCCTTCCGTGGGTGAAACAGCTCGAGCGAGAAGATGTATTGAGGGGAGATAGCCTGGAGCGTCTCCATCCCTCAATACAGGAAGATGGTTTTGGCAGGCTGACTCTGTATCCCCAAGCGCGCATGGTAGGGGGTGTAACAGATTTTGATCCGGAGAGCATCTCAACAGGAAACCGATACACTTCAGCGGTCTGATCCTCCCTTCTGAGATGGGGGAAGCTCTCCGTTTCCTGACAAGTGGATCAGGAACCCCCTGCAAAGCTGAAGCAGTGGGTTTAGCTGGCTACCTCAGGTCCACTCGTCTGCGGGGGCGCTGTCCTGGCATCGGACGGCCACGAGCTCCCCAGACCATGCGAGGCATGGGATGTCTCGGCTCGTCACTCCTTCTAGAGGCCTCTTTCCGGTGTGCGAAGCGGTCTCTGGGCGCGGGGGAAGGAGTAGGAGGTTCACGAGCCCTCCTAGGCACAAACTGCTTAAGTGCAGCCGATTGCGTCTTAGCAGTTCGGAATTTGTCAACCACTGAATTGACCGCCTCTCCAAATAGGATTTGCATACGAGGGCGGAAGTGGTCCTACAGGGCTTAGAAGGTAGAAGAGGGCGGGACTTCCAGGAATGAGCGGAAGAAGGCAAAAGTGGCCAACGTGTCCTCAACCACTGGAATGCAGTGTAGCCCTGCTCCACAGAACCAACCAGGGAGTGAATGGCTGTCTGTCTTTGGAAGTCCATCAAAGCGCATCTATTCATGATTAAAGTGCTCCACGTGTCTCCCGGGGTTAATAAAGGCCTTCTGAAGTGAAGCGATGCGTTCGTGTAAGAAAAATATCCATATTTAAAACTTTATCGACTAAAATAACTAGCTTACGGCAGACGGCCATACGGATTGATTTACGCCATAAGAGTAACCCTTGAACTTGGCACGCAACGTAATGACGGCAATTGACGCCTCTCGCGGTTCAAACAAACAGGGCTGGGCAACCGCGCTCGTCATTACGTTGTGTGTTTATTATGTATGTTTTTCTCAGATGAAGCGGTAAAACGCTGATGAAGTGACTCTGGAGATTAAGACAATTTTGACAAATTCCGCGTTCTACAGTTTTTGTGACTGGATTCCATGGTCTGTTTTCTGCATCGTGGAAATCATGGGGCCCTAGTGTAATTTTATTTCAATTAACGCTTATTTCATGGTTTGAATTTCAGTTTTAGCTAACTATAATAACCTTGCTACTGACTTTGATATTGTTTGAATTTTGTTCTTATGGATATGAGCAGATATATTTTGAAAGTGTTAACATGGTGCATACGTAGACTATAGAATCTAAATATAAACACTTATTTGTTACATCTGAATATTCATGTGGAAATGAATGTGGTGGATCATGTACTTATTAAAAAAAGCTAATTTTCAGCTCAGGATCTGGAGCTCATCAGTGTAAGTCATACTGTGTGTGTGTGCTTCAGTGGAGCAGGTGGAGCAGATGAACGGGCTCCTCCTCCAGAAGCAGAAGGAGCTGGTGATGGCCGTGTCGAGAGTGGAGGATCTCAGTAAACAGCTGGAGAGCCTGAAACTCGGGCCGATGGACTCGCTCCACAGGGACCCGAGCTCCGGGGCCGAGCTGGACCGACTCTACAGGGACCTGCAGGTACTGCCCGAGATACAGCTCAGTGTGTGTTCAGAGCATCCGACTGTGTGTGTGTGCATGAACCTGTGTTCAGAGCATCCGACTGTGTGTGTGTGTGTGTGTGTGTGTGTGTGTGTGTGTGTGTGTGTGTGTGTGTGTGTGTGTGTGTGTGTGTGTGTGTGCGTGAACCTGTGTTCAGAGCATCCGACTGTGTGTGTGTGTGTGTGTGTGTGTGTGTGTGTGTGCGTGAACCTGTGTTCAGAGCATCCGACTGTGTGTGTGTGTGTGTGTGTGTGTGTGTGTGTGCGTGAACCTGTGTTCAGAGCATCCGACTGTGTGTGTGTGTGTGTGTGTGTGTGTGTGTGTGTGTGTGCGTGAACCTGTGTTCAGAGCATCCGACTGTGTGTGTGAACCTGTGTTCAGAGGATCCGACTGTGTGTGTGTGTGTGTGTGTGTGTGTGTGCGTGAACCTGTGTTCAGAGCATCCGACTGTCTGTGTCTATGGAGAGTCCCCACAAAGATAGCATACAAACGTGTGTGTGTGTGTGTTCACCAGATGAGGAAGAACATGAACCTGGAGCAGAACACCAGACTACAGCAGCAGAGAGAGAACTTGAACAAGAGGAACCATGAGGTGGCCAACATGGACAAGCGAGTGAATGAACTGCGAGACCGCCTGTGGAAGAAGAAGGCGGCGCTACAGCAGAAGGAAAACCTTCCTGTGAGTGAACACACTCGTTACACTCGTTACAGAGGATCTATTCTGCTGGCACTGTCTGAAAAGCTCAATTTGAATTTCTTCCTTAAATATTAGCAAAATTCGAATTATATTCAAATTGTAAAGGCAATACTTAATGTTAGAGGATTAAAGTACTGTATTGTCTCCTGTGCCCACAAGAGGGCGCAATAAGCAAAGTATATGTGTATACAGTATTTCACGAAAGTGAGTACACCCCTCACATTCCAGCAAACATTTGAGTATATCTACTCAAGGGACAATACTATAGAAATGAAACGTGGATATATGTAGAGTAGTCAGTGCGCTGCTTGTATAGCAGTGTATATCTACTGTCCTCTGAAAATAACTCCACATACAGCCATTATTGTCAAAATAGCTGGCATCAAAGTGAATATGTCAAAACTGTGTCCAAAGTGTCAATATTTACTAGTTACTTGAAAAAGTAATCTGATTACGTTGCCCTAGTTACTTGTAATGATTTACCCCAACACTGCTGATGCTCATGAGATGTTATATCATAGGGACAGTATCAGGACCGGATCTGACAAATCTATCAGCTCATTTGCTTTAGACTTTTTTTTTTTTTTTTTTTTTGAAAGTCTAAAGATAAGAGCTGTGTCCCAAATGACACACTATACACTTATGCACTATGTACTCAACCATGTAGTGTATGAACTTTATAAGTTTTTTTTTGTCTGTCAGCATCGGAGTCTGCTAGCCCGTAACTAAAGCGGTGCGAGTCGAGTTCCACACTTAGTTATTCCGGTTAAATAAGTGCATCATCCGGGAACTTAAAGTGCACTTGTTCTTTTTAGGTTTTTCAGAGTGAACGCACTTCTCGCACTATTAATACTACCAAATGTCATAGAATAGTGCACACGTACGCGATGTGGACGCACCTAAGGTGTGTGTGTGTGTGTGTGATGCTGTGCTCAGTGATGTGATGTTCTCCACAGTGTCCTCCCGATGGCCAGCCGGCTCCGCCGACAGGAGTGTCCCGTGTGGCGGCCGTCGGCCCCTACATCCAGTCCTCCACGATGCCCAGGGGCTCCAGTAAACAGGACCTGCTCATCAAACACACTTACCCAGAAGGCACTGCAACGGTCCCGCATCAGGAGACGAGCGCTCATCCCGCAGCAGGTTTGCACACACATTCACATCTGAGACCCTGTGCCCGGTTGCATAAAGCACCTTAAGTGTAATTTTCCCTTAAGGTCGCCCTTATGTTTCCCTTAAACCTAAGGGTGTTGCAGAAAAATACCCTTAAGTGTTACTTAACGTTTTTTTTAAGTGAAACGTCATAAACACTTAGAATTTCCCTTAAATGCTGTTTTTTTCACTTAAGTAATCGTTAAGTGTTGCATAAAACCCCTTAACGGTAATTTCCCTAAGTATAACTTAAGGTTTGGAAATCGTAACCTTAAGAGTAACGCGGACAAAAATAAGACGACATGGCTGAATATATGAAACCAGCTGAAGATCATAAGGAATAGGAAGAACCCTTTGGACCAATTTAGCCATGAAAAATTGTTGCAAGAATAGCTGCTACCGATTTGATCGACGCGCAATATTTGACATCGCTATCAAACTAGACGGCTGTCTGTCTGTCATTACACGCGACTCGCATGTAAACTTTCACAACGTTAAGTCAGTGCGCGCACGGAGAGTGTGTGGCCGACAAAAAATGTACAGGAGAACGAGCTGATTCTGTGTTTTAAAAGGAATCATGACAGAAGAAAACAGCTATGCTATGGAAATATACTCAGCTGTATTTCGAGACACAGAGCCAGAAGTGCATTCACAAAACCTAAACAAATGCCAAAGCATGAGACACAAACTGCCGCCACGTTCGGAGCTAACGCGGTGTTGCGTGATAGCGTCACTGGACTGACACGTGATATTCCGACATGTTAGTGTTTTGCGTATCTATGGCAACAACAGACTTTTATAACGTGAATCCAGGATCGCTGTCGTGAAACACTTAAATGTTTCCCTTACCTAAGAGAACCGTTTAAGAGATTATATGCAACACCCTTAAGTTGTTCTCTTAGGTAAGGGTAAATCGCCCCTTAAGTATCATACTTAAGGGACAAACTTAAGGTGCTTTATGCAACCGGGCACTGGACCACAAAACCAGTCCATTTTTTAAATTTTAGATTTACATCATGAATAAATAATAAGCTTTCCATTGATGAATGGTGTGTTAGGATAGGACAATATTTGGCCGAGATACAATCTGGAATCTGATGGTGCAAAGAAATCGAAACATTAAAAAAATCGCCTTTAAAGTTGTGCATTTATGTTCGTGATTTTGCTGCATCCACTCACAAAAATATATATTAATATTTTTACGGTAGGAAATTTACAAAATATCTTCATGGAACATGATATTTACTTAATATCCTAATGATTTTTGGCATAAAAGGAAATGTTTGCCACGGATACACCCGTGCGACTCGAGACTGGGTCTGTGGTCCAGGGTCACATTTGAGGAGTTATTTACACCGAGAAGTACTATATGCAAATAATGTGTCATTTTTTCATAAACAATCCGATTAAAATGCTAATAAATTACAAATTACTTTTTGTATTCTTATAAAATGTATTCATGAAAAACTATATATATTAGATTTAAATTTATATACACTGCCGTTCAAAAGTTTTAGATCGTCTCTTCTGCACATCAAGGCTGCTTTTATCTGATCACAAAAACTGTAATATTCTGAAATATATTTACAATTTAAAACAGCTTATTTGTATTTGGAAATATTTAGAAGCGTAATTTATTCCTGTGATCGAAGCTGAACTCTCAGCATCATTACTCTTCAGTGTAGAAACATTACAAAAATCTAAAACTTTTCAACGTAGTGTACGTCTAAACAATTTATAATATTTATATATAAATATATCTCTAATATAAATTGTTTACATTTATACATAAATATAAAATATTATCTAGGCTTTAAGAAAATAAATGTTTATTTTAAATGTATCTCGCAGCTTTTTAATGGGGCAACAAGATATGATCGATACGACAGAACAACGTTCAGTCTGCAAAATATCGTAATATTAAAGGCACAAACGCGTATGCGCTGCGTATCCAGAAGTGCAGAGAGAAGAGTTACTGTGCACACACTCCCCGTGTGTTTTATCTGTTCTGTTCGACGAAAGCAACGTTGGGTTTATGTGTCATCAGCTGATGCCAAGATCCCCGGCCGCGGCAGGAGAGAGAGCGGCGCCAGCGCTGGTAAGAGCCTCTCGCCCCACTCTACATCTGTGTGTGCGCGTCGGCGAAGAGATGCTGGCACAATAATAAAGTGCACAACATTTATGGTGCTTTATAATGTGTTAATAATTGCCTTTTGTGGAGCTTAACAGTAACAACCATAAGTAAGCATTAGGTATGTCGATTTACGTAAATTTCTATAATCCACCGTTGTTTAAATTAACGATAATCGATTAATTGTTAACCTTAACCTCTTGCCACTACTACGTTATCTTACTTAACCAGCACTTGCTTAACACACACACATTTTTTAAAGTGAATATAAGGAATATGACCATCACTTAACAAGTGCTTTTAAATTTACTGACGTATTATAAGTGCTCTATTTTCATAGCATGAAAACATTTGAGTGAGTGCAGAAACAGGGACACTCATTTAGAGGAGAACTGGAGCCCTTCATGCTCCCGGCAGCTCTACACACTAGAGCGATGAACACGGAGAAACATGATCGCTGCTCTTATTTCTGCAGGTCTGCCCTCAGCTAAAGTGTCCTCGAAGGCGTCTAACTGGAGTTCGGCGAAGTCCTCCATTAATAACGGGTCCAGCAGTCTCCCACGCTCGGTGACCCAGGCATCTAATAACCCAGGTGACCCCCACACCCCCACCGCTTCTGTATCGCAGAGTTAGCGTCATGCGTTTGCTCAGATCGGAGAGCTCTCTGATTTATCAAAACCATTCCATGTACACCTAGTCACATAAATGTGTTTTCGCAAAACTGATATAAATCTGATCTTCAATTGACCGTTCGCAAAGCCCCGCCCCCTTTAGTTACTGTTGCTATGTCCGACAAGCCACGCCTCTCTCACACACACCATGTTCTCACGCAGTGAAACACTCATCGCGGAGCAGAGAGGACACTGACCACACACTGACACAGACCAGCTTACTTTTGATATGAAACAGTCTCAACTTTCAAATTTGGTAATTTTTTAATGAAATTTAAACAACAAATACCGTTTTTTGGCTCTAATGTGTCGTGACAGATCACTCAGTTAAAGCGGCTCGTGAACCCATCATCTTCCTTCTAGTTATTTATAGCATCAAATAAACATGAATGAACATCAGAAGGTATGTTGTTTTAACTGCGGAAAGACGTCAGGACACCGTTATTCAAGTTCTAGTCCTCCGACGTTAATCTACGAACTCTCCTGGCTGCTGTGTCGGACAGAAATGCCGGATTATGATTGGTCAGATCACCTGTCAATCAAACTCCCTGCGAAGGGTGAATTCCCGCACTATATGCAGATTTAATGGAGTTCACGTCAGCGAAAGCAACAGATATGATCTGCGTTTTATTGATCATCAGCTCATTTCATAATCACAGACCGCGATAGCATAGAGCAACAACAGCACTGTAAGATCATTCAGCTTCTTCACTTTTAATGAAGATAATTGTGTGTTAAGCGTCTGCGACTTACTTTCACTTTGATTTGCGCGTTGGCTTGATGAATAGATGCTCATCTGTGGCGATGTGTGTTGCAGGAGAGCGTCATATCTGGCTATAACATGACATATATCCTATAACACGCCCTCACACGTTTATGTTTTAGCATTGTTGAGAGGAGTAACATTTACATATGTGGTTTCAACAACAGATGCGTTCACACGCGTCTCAGACCTCCTCCTGAAGTGGTGTGAGCGATCGGATTTAAATCGTCTCGAATGCGTGTATTTATTCAATATACGTTTAATTAAATATGTGTTTCGGAGGGCATTTACACCTGGTGTTTTCCCGATCGGATGGCTATCAGATCACAGAACACACACACTGCAAAAAATGCTTTTCTTACTTAGTATTTTTGTCTTGTTTCCAGTCCAAATATCAAACATTTCTTAAATCGAGATGCATTTACTAAAGTAGTAAAATGACGTAAAATATTAAGTCATGTTTTCTGGGGAAATAAATAATTTTTTTTTGCTTAAAACAAGCAAAATTATCTGCCAATGGGTAAAGAAAAATAATCGTGTTTCTGTTTGAATTAAGATTATTTTTCTGACCCCATTGGCAGATTATTTAGCTTCTTTTAAGCATCAACTCACTTAATTTTGATTAATTCCCCCAGAAAACAGGACGTTAGGGTTTTACCCATTTAGTAAATCCATCTTTATTTAAGAATTTCTAGGTATTTGGACTAAGTAATACTTGATTAATAATAATGAATTAAGTATAAGTAAGAAACGCATTGTTTGCAGTGCATGAGGTGTCCCGTGTAAACAGCCCTTCGACTCGCACACATGTATTGTGAGTTGAAAGCCGTGTTATGCTCCAGATAAAGCAGAGGTGCCGAAGCGGGACCCCAGGGTGCGCCCCGCCTCCATGTTCGAGTCCATCGAAGCGCCCGCAGCTTCTCTACGCAAGAACCAGAGCAGCGAGGACCTCGCCAGAGACGCACAGGTACTGGACACACGTGCACACACACACATGAATGTGTTTTACTACACACTACCGGTCAAACGTTTTGAATGATTTTTTTTAAAAATGTTTTTAAGAAGAGTCTCTTCTGCTCACCAAGGCTGCATTTATTTGAGTAAAAAAACCAACAACGTAAAAACAGTGAAATATTATTGTAATGTAAATCATCTGTTTTCTATGTGAATATACAGTAAAGTGTAATTTATTCCTGAATTTCCAGCATCATTACTCCAGTCTTCAGTGTCACATGATCCTTCAGAAATCACTCTAATATGATGATCTGATGATCAAGAAACACTTATGATTATTATCAGTGGTGAAAACAGTCGTGCTGGTTCATGTTTTTGTGGAAGGCGTCAGAATTTTTTCAAAAGAAAGAAATTGAGACTTTTATTCAGCACATACACATTAAATTGATCAAAGGTGACATTTTTAATGTTAAAAAGATTCTATTTCAAATAAATTCTGTTCTTTCGAGCTTTCTATTCATCAGAGAATCCTGAACCATATATTCAAAAAAATATTCTGCTGTGAAAACTTCTGTCAACATTGATAACAATAAGATTATAATCTAAAAATCTATAACAAGAATTAAGCGCAAATAAAAATAGCTAATTACTCTGCATCAGATCCTCATATTAGAGTGATTTCTGAAGGATCATGTGACACTGAAGACTGGAGGAATGATGCTGAAAATTCAGCTTTTATCACAGGATATAAATTACACTTTACTATATATTCACATAGAAAACAGCTGATTTACATTATAATAATATTTCACGGTTTTTACAGTATTTCTAATCAAATGAATGCAGCTTTGATGAGCAGAAGAGACTCCAGTTTATTCCAGACGTTTGGCCTGTAGTGCACAGTCTCCTCATCTCAATATGCAAGAAATTCAGCTTTGGAATAAATTACATTACTATATATTCACATAGAAAACATCTGTTATACATTATTGAGTTAGAAAAGTTTGGCCTGTAGTGCACATGTTCTCTTCGTCTCAATATGCCGTGTCCACCATCAGGTTGATGTTTAAAAAGTGACACTGATGTTTCTATACTCTCAGAGCGCCGTCAAGAACACAGTCAAGGTTCCTCCTCCGGTTCCCAGTAAACCTAAACAGGCCAGCCTGCCCAAGACGGGCCTCAACGCCGGGACCTTCCCAGGCAAGAGTAAGCCCAGCCCGCAGCCGCCCACTGGTTCCCAGCATGCTTTAGCACAGGGCAGTACTCTCCCCCTTCCCTCGAAGCCCGAGGCTCCTCCGGCCGCCACCGTACACCCCTTCACTCCCGACCCCCCCGGGGCCAAAGAGGTCCTGCTGAAGCCCCAGATGCTGGCCACCAGCTCCATCTACAGCATGTACACACAGCAGAGCGTGACGGGAGCGCTGGGCCGAGCGCAGACCCGCAGCAGCAACTTCATCAGCGGTGAGTCCGCCACCACATTTAGCAGACCGCTTTATCCAGAGCGACTTACAACAACTATAGCCTATAGGCTGCTGTCACTTTAAGAGCTGCACGCATCCAATATACTGATACACATGAGAACAGACAACAGAGTCTCTCACGCTTGAATGCTTTAAAGTCATATTGTAATGCTCACAAAGGAATTGATAAGAGGAATCGACATTTTAATTTAATATAACAAGTATCCGATTCCTGTTGTCAAATATATTTTAGATTCCCAACCCTAGTTAGGCCCGTTTTCAGCAGGACATTCAAATCATTTAGCAGTTAATCCAGTGTGTTCGTGTTTTTACTCGCATCTGAACAGAAGAAATGAAGATTTACAGCTCAAAGAAGGCGGAGCCTCAGAGCCACACCCCCCTATTATATCATCACCACACTGACCAATGGGAGTTCATGTGTTTACCAGCCAAAGCGAACTTTACCAGAAAGATCTCGATATGAACTCCCAATTTGAACTTTTGAGCACAAAATGACATCACACAGGTTAATTCAAGATTTTGCTTGAAGCATATCAAAGCGTTAATCTAGCTTGCCATTGTACACTATGAATATTACGATTTTATCCAGCTGATGAACGATAAAAACACTGACAGCCAATCAGAATCCATCCTGCTGTGACAAACTCGAGCGTTTAAAGCGGCAGACAAGCACGAATAAACAGAACGATGGTGCGCTGGTGTGGACGCTAATGAAGTTATCTTTATACTTCTTGTTCTTGGTGTGAACAGGCCTTTAAAGGTGCAGTGTGTGATATTTAGGAGGATCTGTTGACAAATGTAATATCATAAACATAACTATGTTTTCAGTGGAGTATAAAGACCTTATAATGAGCCGTTATGTGTTTATTAGCTTAGAATGAGCGTTTCTCTCTACACACACCGCGGGTCCGCTTACATCCATGTTTCTACGGTGGCCCTGAGCTGACAAACGCGTTTCGTCACTGTTGTTCTTCATGATAAGAAGCTGCTAAAGTCAGCGAATAAAACACTGACACAATGATGAACAAGTCACAATAATATTCGCAATAACATATCGTTTTACTGAATAATGAAGTAAACCTTATTTCTTAATTTACCTTTGTAAAGAAACCTCATTGTTTAACTGGCTGCTCTCTGCTGTCTCAGACGATGACATCACTTCCTGTCGACCACTGTAACTTCTGTTGGGTGCAATTCACAACCTCACCTCTAGATGCTGCTAAAACTTACACACGGCACCTTTAAGAATGTTTAAAAAAGGAAAATTATTGTAATATTTATTTTTCATTTTTCATCATATTCCTGTCCATGTAGTTTACGGGAAGCCAGTGACGTCCACAGGCCAGCCGTCTCAAAACCAGCTCCCTGAGAACCCGTACCTGGACCCGCCCAGTGTCCCCGAGGCCGAGAAGGACCACAGTCCTGCTCCCGAAACCCAGGAGCCCGAGCGCACTCCCAGACCCCTCAGTCCCACTAAGCTCCTGCCCTTCATCTCGAACCCCTACCGCCACCAGAGCGACGTGGACCTGGAGGCTCTCCGCAAGAGACTCTACAACGCGCCGAGACCCCTGAAGAAGCGCAGCTCCATCACGGAGCCCGAGGGCCCCGGCGGCCCCAACATTCAGAAGCTCCTGTACCAGAAGACCACTCTGGCCGCGATGGAGACCACAGCGAGTCCTGTGGGAGACGAGGAGAAGGAGACGACGGCAGGAGCTGCGGGAGCGTCACTCCAGGGGCCAAAACCGGCAGAAACCGAAGCAGAGAACGTCCCTCCTCCTCCTCCTCCGCCACCGCCTCCACACCCGGCTCCACAACCCCACGCTGAGATCCCCCCTCCACCTCCGGCCCAAAAACCCCACGCTGCGATCTCCCCTCCACCTCCTCAGCCGGCCAGCCCTCCTCCTCCGCCTCCTCCTCCTCCTGCTGAGAGCCCCATTGAAGACTTCCCTCCGTATCCTCCTCCTCCCTATCCCAGCGGGGCCGAGCAGGAGCCTCCAGAAGACACCTTCAGCATGAAGCCACCGGAGGTCACCGGACAGGTTCGCTTTCCACCCGTAAGTCCCGTCAAGCGAACACACGATGTTGACACATATTTCAATTCAATTACAAAGAGTTCGATTCACTGGTTTGCAGTGGGATTCAATTCTAATCTCGATTCAGTTCAATTGGAAATTAAATCATATCAGGGGTCAGCCCCTTGTGTTTGAGCTGCAGCCTTTCCTGTATAACTTCCGTACCTCGAATGCAATGCATGTCACGTGGGATGAAAGCGTCTGTGAAATGCATGAGTGCAAGTGTGAGATGTGTGTGTTGTGTGTCCAGGGTAAGTGTGTGTTGTGTGCCCAGGGGAAGTGTGAGATGTGTGTGTTCAGGGTAAGTGTGTGTTGTGTGTGTTGTGTGTCCAGGCTCAGTGTGTGTGTGTGTGTGTGTGTGTGTGTGTGTGTGTGTGTGTGTGTGTGTGTGTGTGTCCAGGGTCAGTGTGAGACGTGTGTGTTGTGTGTCCAGGGTCAGTGTGAGATGTGTGTGTGTCCAGGGTCAGTGTGTGTTGTGTGTCCAGGGTCAGTGTGAGACGTGTGTGTTGTGTGTCCAGGGTCAGTGTGAGACGTGTGTGTTGTGTGTCCAGGGTCAGTGTGAGACGTGTGTGTTGAGTGTGCAGGGGAAGAGTAAGATGTGTGAGATGTGTGTGTGTGTTGTGTGTGCAGGGGAAGAGGACGAACCTGCGTAAGGCCGGATCGGAGCGCATCGAGCACAGCATGAGAGTGCACTTCAATCCTCTGGCTCTCTTACTGGACTCGTCTCTGGAGGGAGAGTTGGATCTGGTGCAGCGCATCATACACGAGGAAAGTTACATTTCACACTTTAAACCTGAAGATGTAATGCTGTCGACTTATGAATTTACTCATGGTGTGTCTTAAAGCGTATTAAACACACCACATAGACACATAAACAACATTAAAAGCTGGATTTTCACAGCTAAACAGCTGAAACAGCTAAAGGATTATTAAATCAATAAAGATATATTATGATTATTTGTTGTGATTCACATCAGAAACAGACTGTAGACGCATGAACTGCATGTTGTCAAACTAACACCATTAACTGTAAGGACTGTAACCTAGACGGCCCTGTTATGATAACACGAATGTAAACCTTTATAAACAGACGTTGATTAGCATGAAGGAGGTCGTAGCGTCTGAACATGTGTTCGTTCATGTCCGTATGCTGCTCGCTGGAGTGGGCCGCCGGTAACCATGCCAACCATCTGGTCCATCTCCAGTTTAACAGTGTCTTGAAATAGCAAGCTCACCTGGCAGCGACACAGAGAGGTTATCAGCCAATGGCTAATGAGAGACATCATTTAGTCGCCTATGCGAGTGATTTACTCGTATTGTAGAGGGTTGCCGTAGTGACAGAACCTGACAGTAATATAACAGAGAGAATCTTGTTGTGTGTGTTGCCCCATCAGGTGGAGGACCCGAGTCAGCCGAACGACGAGGGCATCACTGCGCTCCACAACGCTGTGTGCGCCGGTCACACCGAGATCGTGAGGTTCCTGGTTCAGTACGGAGTCAGTGTGAACGCGGCGGACAGCGACGGATGGTGAGACACGCTTCACACACTCACACATATCGTCTGCGATAATATCCTGATTGTTGTTTTACCGATGTGCAATCTGACATTGAGTATATATCTCACACACACCCAGGGTGCACGCATACCCTATATTTTATAAATATCACACTACGAGTGCAGTGAGCAAGTGTGTGTGTGTGTATGTGTGTTCCAGCAATATTCCAGCAAGAGAGAGTGAGAGTGAGGGTGAGAGGTGTGAGAGTGAGGGTGAGAGTGAGTGAGTGTGAGAGGTGAGTGAGAGTGAGTGTGAGATTGAGTGAGTGTGAGATTGAGTGAGTGTGAGAGGTGAGTGTGAGAGGTGAGTGTGAGAGGTGAGTGTGAGAGGTGAGTGTGAGAGGTGAGTGTGAGAGGTGAGTGTGAGAGGTGAGTGTGAGAGGTGAGAGGTGAGAGGTGAGAGGTGAGTGTGAGTGTGAGAGGTGAGTGTTTGAGTGAGTGAGGGTGAGTGTGAGTGGTGAGAGTGAGTGAGTGTGAAAGTGAGTGTGAGAGGAGAGTGTGAGTGTGAGATAGGGTGAGGGTGAGTGTGAGTGTGAGATAGGGTGAGAGTGAGTGTGAAAGTGAGTGAGTGTGAGAGGAGAGTGAGAGTGTGAGATAGGGTGAGTGAGAGGTGAGAGTGTGAGAGTGAGAGTGAGTGAGTGTGAGAGTGAGTGTGAGAGTGAGTGTGAGAGTGAGTGTGAGAGTGAGTGTGAGTGTGAGAGTGAGTGTGAGAGTGAGAGTGAGAGTGAGTGTGAGTGTGAGAGTGAGTGTGAGTGTGAGAGTGAGTGTGAGAGTGAGTGTGAGAGTGAGTGTGAGAGTGAGTGTGAGAGTGAGTGTGAGAGTGAGTGTGAGAGGTGAGTGTGAGAGGTGAGTGTGAGAGGTGAGTGTGAGAGGTGAGTGTGAGAGGTGAGTGTGAGAGGTGAGTGTGAGAGGTGAGTGTGAGAGGTGAGTGTGAGAGGTGAGTGTGAGAGGTGAGTGTGAGATGTGAGGCTGAGTGTGAGATGTGAGGCTGAGTGTGAGATGTGAGGCTGAGTGTGAGAGTGTGAGTGTGAGTGAGTGTGAGTGAGAGGTGAGTGTGAGAGATGAGTGTGAGGAGTGAGTGTGATGAGTGAGTGAGAGGTGAGGTGAGAGTGTGAGGAGTGAGTGTGAGGTGAGTGAGAGTGTGAGAGTGAGAGTGTGAGTGAGAGTGTGAGTGAGTGTGAGTGTGAGAGTGTGGAGTGGTGAGAGTGTGTGTGTGAGTGTGAGTGTGAGAGAGAGTGAGTGTGAGAGTGAGTGTGAGAGTGAGTGTGAGAGTGAGTGTGAGAGTGAGTGTGAGAGTGAGTGTGAGAGTGAGTGTGAGAGTGAGAGTGAGTGTGAGAGTGAGAGTGAGTGTGAGTGTGAGAGTGAGTGTGAGAGTGAGAGTGAGTGTGAGAGTGAGAGTGAGTGTGAGAGTGAGAGTGAGTGTGAGAGTGAGTGTGAGAGTGAGTGTGAGAGTGAGTGTGAGAGTGAGTGTGAGAGTGAGTGTGAGAGTGAGAGTGTGAGAGTGAGAGTGTGAGAGTGAGAGTGTGAGAGTGAGAGTGTGAGTGTGAGAGTGTGAGTGTGAGTGAGTGTGAGAGTGAAGGCAGCAGGCGCTCTTTCGAGGCCCTGAAATTGGAATGAGCGTATTTTAAACCTATGGGCGAGGACCCATTGGAGGGCAAGTCTGGTGCCAGCAGCCGCGGTAATTCCAGCTCCAATAGCGTATACTAAAGTGACTGCAGTTAAAAAGCTCGTAGTTGGATCTCGGGAGCGGGCCGGCGGTCCGCCGCGAGGCGAGCCACCGCCTGTCCCGGACGCCTGCCTCACGGCGCCCCCCGGATGCCCTTAACTGGGTGTCCGGTCCTCGGGGCCCGAAGCGTTTACTTTGAAAAAATTAGAGTGTTCAAAGCAGGCCGCCTGTGAGTGTGAGAGAGTGAGTGTGAGAGAGTGAGTGTGAGAGAGTGAGTGTGAGAGAGTGAGTGTGAGAGAGTGAGTGTGAGAGAGTGAGTGTGAGAGTGAGAGTGAGTGTGAGTGTGAGAGTGAGTGTGAGAGTGAGTGTGAGTGTGAGAGTGAGTGTGAGTGTGAGAGTGAGAGTGAGTGTGAGAGTGAGAGTGAGTGTGAGTGTGAGAGTGAAGGCAGCAGGCGCTCTTTCGAGGCCCTGTAATTGGAATGAGCGTATCCTAAACCCATGGGCGAGGACCCATTGGAGGGCAAGTCTGGTGCCAGCAGCCGCGGTAATTCCAGCTCCAATAGCGTATACTAAAGTCACTGCAGTTAAAAAGCTCGTAGTTGGATCTCGGGAGCGGGCCGGCGGTCCTCCGCGAGGCGAGCCACCGCCTGTCCCGGACGCCTGCCTCACGGCGCCCCCCGGATGCCCTTAACTGGGTGTCCGGTCCTCGGGGCCCGAAGCGTTTACTTTGAAAAAATTAGAGTGTTCAAAGCAGGCCGCCTGTGAGTGTGAGAGAGTGAGTGTGAGAGTGAGTGTGAGTGTGAGAGTGAGTGTGAGAGTGAGTGTGAGAGTGAGTGTGAGAGTGAGTGTGAGAGTGAGTGTGAGAGTGAGTGTGAGAGTGAGAGTGAGAGTGAGAGTGAGTGTGAGAGTGAGTGTGAGAGTGAGTGTGAGAGTGAGTGTGAGAGTGAGTGTGAGAGTGAGAGTGAGTGTGAGAGTGAGTGTGAGAGTGAGTGTGAGAGTGAGTGTGAGAGTGAGTGTGAGAGTGAGAGTAGGGCTGGGCGATAAAACGATAATTATCGCGATATAATTTTTCTCGATAAAACGATATCAAGAGGTCGATAAATGTTCCATAATGTGTATGCGCGAAAAGCGGAACGGAACGAAACTCATTTGAACCGCGCGCCACACGGACCGTTTATCCGCTCGGCTCAAAGTCCAAACGGCAGCGCAGCGCGAGCTCACTAGAGCAGACGCGTTTACTCTGGTCGTCTCGCTCACGAGATCCAGTGAGAAGCGCTTAAGTTCAGCGAAGAACACAAATGTCCAGTTTAAATCAGTTTAAAGGCAGATGAAACACCGCTGACAAACAGGAGAAACACTGCGCAGCGAAACAGTCAGAATCTGAATTGATACTGTAACGTTAGCCTAGTAATATTAACTGCACCATGAGATGTGGGATATACATATTGAATTGTATAATATTATTAATGTAGACAATGTATAAAATGACTAATGGAATATAATTACAGTATTTAATAATGTATTTAACTGTTAGGCTACTGTTTTTCAAACAAATACCATAGAAACCATAAAGTTACATTTTGCCATGATAGTGAGGTGCTATAGGCTGTACCTGGCTTTATCTGTGGTTATCATGATCTAAATGCATGATACTGGATGACCAATGGTTAATTTTAATTAAATTCAAACAGTCAGAATATTACATTTTACCAAATAAAAATGTGGTCCTTAAAATTAAAAAAACAGATGTTACTGTTTTTGTTAATGAACATAAATTTAACATAGCAGCATTAGCTTGAGTTAGGATGTAGATTTACTGTCAACTCACTGTCAAATATGCATTTCGAGACAAAACATGTCATTTGAATATTGCAGCCTGCACTGCAAACTGTACTGAAGAAATATTTTTCTTTTCAGATATTTATTTTGTTAAGGAAAAATGACAAATGTTTGAATGTTCTACCTCAGATTTTTAAAACCACAACGCTCTGGTTTATACAACTTTCACTTAGGAGCAAAAATCTGCCTTTAAACTTGAAAGAAATAAAGATTTGACATTTATCGTGATAATTATCGATATCGACTGATATAAAAAAAAATATCGTGATACATTTTTTGGGCCATATCGCCCAGCCCTATGTGAGAGGGTGAGGGTGAGTGAGGGTGCGTAAACTCAGCAGTCCCAGCATGATTCAAACTCTAGCCAAACTATTTAATCTGGTTTTGTGGTCCGGAAGCTTCCCTGAGAGCTGGTCTGAAGGACTCATCACACCCATATTCAAGAAAGGAGATCGATTCGACCCCAATAATTATCGCGGCATCAGTGTGGGCAGTGCTTTAGGAAAACTGTTCTGCAGGATCATAAACAGACGCATTGTCTCACACATCTCATCACACAACATCTTAAATAAAGCACAGATTGGCTTTCTACCAAAACACTGCACGTCCGACCACATCTATTCCCTCCACACTCTCATCAACGAAAACATCAAGGGCAAACAAAGGAAAATATTTGCATGTTTTGTAGACTTTAAAAAAGCATTCGATTCAATTTGGCATGATGGTCTACTGTACAAAATCCTAAAAATTGGCATTGGCGGAAAAACGTTTGATTTAATAAAATCTCTATACAGCAACAGCAAAAGTGCGGTGAAAATCAGGAACCACAGAACCGGGTTCTTCCAGTAGGGCCGTGGAGTGAGGCAGGGCTGCAGTCTGAGCCCGACTCTATTCAACATCTATATCAATGATCTGGCGTCAGCGCTGGTGAGCTCCACTGTGCCCGGCCTCACTCTACACCACACACAGGCCAGGGGTCAGAGGTCAGATGTCTGCTGTACGCGGATGATCTGGTCCTGCTGTCCCGCACACCAGAGGGCCTTCAGCAGAGCCTGTCCCTGCTGGAACAATACTGTCACGACTGGGCCCTGACAGTCAATCTGGACAAAACCAGAGTCATGGTGTTCCAGAAGAAGGCCAGATCTCAGGAACACAAACACCAGTTCCTGTATAAAGACCAGGTCCTGCAGCAAAGCACGAGCTATAGCTATCTCTCTGTGTGTGTGTGTGTGTGTGTGTGTGTGTGTGTGTGTGTGTGTGTGAGCACGAGCTATAGCTATCTGGGCATCGACATCAGCGCTTCGGGACGCTTCGGTCTGGCTGTTAAAACACTCAGTGAAAAGGCTCGGAGAGCTTTTTATGCAATAAAATCACGATGCGGGCACTTTAAAATTACCCATTAAAACCTGGATCAAATTATATAATTCAATAATAAAACCAATTATTTTATATGGATGTGAAATTTGGGGACCAGTACAAAATTTTACAAATTGGGATAAAACACCAGTAGAAAAATTACACTTGGAAATTGCCAAAAATATTTTAGGGGTTCACCGAAACACATCCACTGCCGCCTGCAGGGCTGAGCTAGGCCTGTACCCGCTGAACATCGAGATCCAGAAGAGATGTGTTCAGTTCTGGCATCACCTCCATCAGTCTGATCCAGAGTCAGTCCAATATAAAGCCCTCCTCGCCAATGAAAGCTCAGCAGAACCTCATCCTCTAAACACACTCGCTCTTCAACTCGTCCATCAGACTACACCCCCCACTGACCACAGCTACAGCCCCACAACTACTGTTAAAGAAATACACACACATCTAAAAGACACTCATGATCAATCACTAAAAGCTCATTTTGACCTCCAGAAAAAACTCCAATGTTACTCGACCCTCAATCGAACCACTAAATTGGCCAGTTATCTATTTATTAAACATTTTAAAGACAGACAAATCCTCTCCAAATGGACAGAGAGAGAGCAGAGGATCTGTAGACACTGTGATCTACAGCACATAGAGGATGAGGAACACTTTCTGCTTTTCTGCTCTAAATATACCAGTATAAGAGACACTTTTCTGCCCAAATTTGAAGCCTTGATCCCGTCATTCTATGAACTGAGTGACACTGTCAAAATGTCCTTCTTACTCGGAGAAGATGTTAATACAGCTGCACTAGCGGCTAAATATGTGCTAGTTATTCACAACGCCAGAGAGAGCTAATTCTCCAGAGTGATAAAATGTATTTATTTATCTATTTATTAAGATAGATTGTGTTTATTTATCTATATATTTACAATGCTACATATGACATGATTTATACATACATGTTTACTGTTTGTTTTATTATTTATATTTAATATGCTTTGGCAACATTGTGTTACACAGTCATGCTAATAAAGCTAATTTTGAAATTAAAAATTGTGAGTGTCAGTGTGAGAGTGAGTGTGAGTGTCAGTGTCAGTCAGTGTCAGTCAGTGTCAGTCAGTGTCAGTCAGTGTCAGTCAGTGTGAGAGTGTGTGTGTGAGAGTGTGTGAGAGTGTGTGAGAGTGTGTGAGAGAGAGTGTGAGAGAGTGTGAGAGAGTGTGAGAGTGTGAGAGAGTGTGAGAGAGTGTGAGAGAGTGTGTGAGTGTGTGAGTGTGTGAGTGTGTGTGTGTGAGAGTGAGAGAGAGTGAAATAGAGTGAGTGTGCGAGTGAGTGAGAGAGTGTGTTCCAGCCGTAACCCTGTTTGTGTCTCTCTGTGTGTGTGTGTGTGTGTGTGTGTGTGTGTGTGTGAGAGAGAGTGTGTTCCAGCAGTAACCCTGTGTGTGTGTGTGAGAGAGAGAGTGTGTGTTCCAGCCGTAACCCTGTGTGTGTGAGAGAGAGTGTTCCAGCCATAACCCTGTGTGTGTGTGTGTTCCAGGACTCCCCTGCACTGCGCGGCCTCCTGTAATAACGTGTCGGTGTGTAAGTTCCTGGTGGAGTCTGGGGCTGCTGTGTTCGCCATGACCTACAGCGACATGCAGACGGCAGCGGACAAGTGTGAGGAGATGGAGGAGGGATACACACAGTGCTCGCAGTTCCTCTACGGTGCGTTACACACACACACACACACACACACACACACACAGGCACTGCAGGTACACGTGCACCAATCATGGGATCATTTACAGTGGACTAGGGTTGGGTATCGGTTGGGTTTTATCCGATACCAGTACCTACTAGGTATTTTTTAAACGGTTCTGGTGCCTAAACGGTTCTTGAAACGGTACTTAAGAAAACGAAACCGCACACACTTTATCAAAAAATAATACCCTTTTATTTACAGGGCCAAACTGGACACAATATTAACTTAAATCTTTAAACAATATAAATAAATAATAATAAAACCAATATAAAATAAAAATTCACATTTACATAATATCAAATAAAACAATATTGTATCAAACAATGTAATAATACTGGAGATTAATAGAGGTTACTAGCAGGCAGAGCTGCCAACTCTCACGCATTGACCGTGAGAGACTTTTGACCCGTGAGAGACAATTGACCCTTTTCACATGCTCTCACGCCACACATCCATTTTCTCACGCAGAGAAAAATCGCGGACAAAGAGGACACTGACACCGACAGACAAGGTTACTTTTGATATGGAACAAATCCACAGCTGTCAGATTCTGTCAATATTTTTACGAGATTCACACAATAAATAACGTTTTGGCTCTTTGAAATGTGACAGATCGCTGTAGCGCGTCAGTTCAAACGGCACGTGATACAGCAGCCTACAAATACAAATCCACTGCTTCTTAGCTACGCAGCGTTGAGTGAACCTATGAAAGAGAACATCTCTGGTTACTGGTGTAACCTATGTTCTCTCAATAGGGAACGAGACGCTGCCAAGCTCCTCGCCCGCGCCATCAGCCAATGAATTGGCTTGATTCTATATGGATTCAGACTATCGGCCCACCCAGAGGGCGTTCTGACGCGTAATTTTACACGTGAAATGCAGCCAAACCTTGCGAGCAAGAGCGCGCATGCGAGACAGAAGAGAGACTGTGCGTGTGTGTGTGTGCCTAATTAAGTCAGGCACCGAAATCAGGCACCGAAATTGTCGTTCTTATTCGGTCTGGTTACTACCGTTTACGTCGGAACCGGTTCCCTATTGGCACAGAGTTTCGGTACCCAACCCTACAGTGAACTTACAGGAGTAGTTCATTTCAGAATTAAAACTTCCTAATGATTTACTCTCCTCCACGTCCTCCAAGATGTTCATGACTTTCTTTCTTCAGTGGAAAAGAAATTAAGGTTTTTGAGGAACACACTCCAGTATTAATCTCCATATAGTGTCTTCAATGGGGTCCAACGGGTCGAAGGTCCAGATGTGAGTTTCAGTGCAGCTTCAAAGTCTCAACACGATCCAGCCGAAGAATAAGAGTCTGATCTAGACAAACCAGCGGACATTTATAACAAAATAAACATTTATATACTTTAACCACTAATGCTGGTCTTGCACTAGCTGTGATGCGACACATATTACGCAATCAGGGTGAAAGGTCAAGCGGGACGTAGGCGGAAATACCAAGAACGTGCAAAGACTAAGTCGATCGCCCTTTACAATAAAAATAAAATGTTAAACAACGATGTCACAAAAATGACACAGATGTAAGTTGCAACTTGGGTGATACAGTGCTTAAATACAGTAGTAGCACATCATCTATGATGTATCACCTGAAAACACAACACCCGCAAGCCTCTTCGGGTGAGAAAGGTAGCCAAAGCCAACCTACCATGTCATCTATGCTAGCTGGTGTGACAAACAGCGCTCAGAGACTATTATAGTGTGTGTGTGAGCGGGAGGCAGAGCGGCAGAAAGATGCGACAGAGTTGCGAATTTGCAGGCGCGGCTCGAAATGGCTGTTATTTCAAATAGCGTAGCATATTTTAAACTAATCACTTAACCGGTTTCAACCGGCTAATGAGGGTCGGTCAAGAGAATTTTTAGTTTTCGCCATCCCTAGTTTAAATCCAGAGAAATCAGCAGGTTTAACTAGTGTAACGGGCCATGGCATTGCCTCACCTCTCAACGACACTTTAACCTCGAATTCCAAATTCACTTCCGCAGAAACCATGGAAACACAAAAGACTCTTTTAATATATTATGTGTTTTATTAGGCAGGTGAGCAACTGTTTGGATACATTCATCGACAAAAAACGAATCATTGTTATATACACAGCTAGTCTTATTGTTTGAATCTCTTGTTTTTATTGATTTTCTGCAAGTAACATGTGGCTCAGAGACAACACTATTTTATCAAGTGCTTCATATTAAAAGTAACAAAGCACAAAGATTATTGAATGGCAGGCGTGCAACAAATGTTTCATGAAGTTTTGGTCATGCATTAAAATCTTTTAGTCTGTGCCGTTTTCTTTTGGATTTTGGAGACCGCTCTGACTCTATAATAACCCGTACCACAAAACCAGCACAACTCAGGGTCTGACAAAACCCATCAAATCCAGCTTGATTACAAAGATTACATGTAGGCTAATCTTTTGTTTGTTGCTTGTAATAGCTCCAGCATTATATATGACACTTATAAACTCAACTCAAGCGTCCCCAGTGGTGTGTGTGTTTGACCGGTGTGTGTGTGTGTGTTTGACCGCTGTGTTCTCGTGTGTTCACAGGTGTGCAGGAGAAGATGGGCATCATGAACCGAGGCGTGGTGTACGGCCTGTGGGACTACGAGAGCGAGGAAGAGGACGAGCTGTGCTTCAGAGAGGGCGACAGCATGAGTGTGAGCCGCAGGGAGGACGAGGACGAGACCGAGTGGTGGTGGGTGCGCATGGGCAACAGAGAGGGGTACGCACCCCGAAACCTGCTGGGGGTGAGTGACACCACACACACACACTCACGCTCTCCCACACTAGAGACCATAGACTGTAAAACAATAAGGTCTTTGACGTCACCTGAATGTTTCTGAAGAGCATTTCTGAAGCCTAAAGTGGGCGGAGCCGGCCGTTGCAATCTTGATCACTCCCAGATAAACGAAAATGTGCAGCGAGGCGAATTAGCTGAGGTGACGTAACGCTAGCAGACAAACGGCTAGTAGTGACATCAGCGGCAATCCACCTGTCACTCAAGTGGCCACACCCTTAATTATGTAGAACTTTAAGGCTTAATATAATTTAAACGGATGAGTTATAAAAAAAATTCACCACCTCACAGTCGAAGGGCAAAATTAGCAATATAGTAGCCTGGATGCCAGCCCGAACCCCGCCCACAACATTTTTTGGTCGGGAAGTTCGGTCTGGACTCGATCCATTGAGGAGTAATTATGACCGGTTCAGAATTAGTTGGTCCAATCAAATTGCCAGGGCGGGCTTTATACGATGATGGACAGATGATCTGCAGTTACGTAATCCTCACGTTATCAAAGAGCGCTTGGGTTGAACTGGTTTCCCTCAGAGATGACTGCCGCTGGAGAACTGAGATGTAGAGATCCCGCTATCGTGTCTGTTGTAGAAGAAATCGACAGCGCATTCATTTTAAAAGACGAACAGAGAACTGCAATCAAGGCATTTGTCGATCGGAAAGATGTGTTTGCCGTCCTTCCCACGGGATTAGGCAAAAGTGTATTTTATCAGCTGGCTCCGATGGTCGCTAAGAAGATGGGACGCAATGAAAGCCCTGTGTTCGTTGTGGTATCTCCTTTGGTCGCACTCATGGAGGACCAAGTAAAAGAAGCAACACTCATTATTTTACTACTACTTCCAGCGTGCGTGCAGTTGAGTTCTGTTGAAACTATCCTATGCAACTATGTAGCTGACTTACTGCGTTGCTCTGATTGGTTGTAGGTCTATCCAATTGAGTGCAGAGTTTGTTTGTTTTTCCTGATTCGGTTAAGACAAGCCTCACAATCAAAGCCCTATGGAGCAGTATCAGACTCACATTCTGACTAGAATATGAGTATGACGAAGTCAGGTTAGCTATATAGACCAAAACCACTTTTTGCACCAGGCTGTAAACATGTTTTTTCTGCTGTAGAGTTGGGCATTTTAACCCCCTGGGGTCGGCTATCGCGCCGGCGCGATTGTCTCGCTTTTTTTCTTATCAGTGTAAAAGAGATTCAAAATACTCGGTTGGTTTTGATCTTACATATAAGTGTTGTACATCATTAGATCCTGTTAAGTTTCTATTTTTTTTGTGGATACTCACAATAAAAACAAAGTGTTGTGCTTTTCACCAAATAAAGAAAAACAAACATGATGCGAGTTCTGCGTTCTCTCTGTCAGTGAAGTCCATTCTGAAACGCGTCCTAAGATTAACTGTAACTCCGCGATTACTTGTCACACAGGCACGAGAGGTTTTTCTTTATGAAGCTTAAATTCTCTTCTTTTAAATGAAGTAATAATTTATATAAAAAAACAAATATTCTCAGTTTATGCAATCTGTATGAAAAGAGAGTGCTGTCAGTATTTTTTTTCCCAGCTCATTACACTTCATTACGCATTAATCTGACACGCCCACGGAGGACGCGCGCTATTCAAACGCAAATGTCGAGGCAAGCCATGACAATGCCCACATCAGCCGTTCCACCGTGGCGGTAAAATGTGTGGTGTATTTGCTGCCTTTTACCGCTAAGAGGCGCTACAATCATAGACTCTGAAAAGTGTTCATTTATTCCGGTTTATTCTCTCTAATGCATAATCTGCTACCGCGCCGCACTGATTCAGAGCGATTGAAAGCTGGTAGCAGAAGAATTCAACAAGTGAAACGTAGTTAAAATAATTCATAATCACAATACTGAAATTAGGCTACTGAAATGTAATTGAATAAATAATGAAAAAATTTCAACATAAAACATTGCAATAAAAAACATTTAGGCTACATGAATGAGGCTTTACATCTTTATCAGCGTACAGACGGTAGCTCAGTGATCAACGCAACAACACGAACTTCGAGGAGCTTCAACAGTCCCGAGATCGAATCTCAATGTAGAATACATGATGTTAACCGATGTTGTCCTACAGCGTTTATATTTTCCCACCTTGATGCTTAAATAGGTAACTGTTTATATCTGTTTACTTATTTAAAGTCAAGAGTTTTGTTTGATTATCATTACAACATAAATTTGCTACATTCCTGTAGAACCGCAGCGCTGCACAAACGACAAAAACTGATGAAGGAAGATTGTCAGCCAATTGCATCAGAAAATGAAAATGAAGAAGCTCGTCTTTAGTCTGCTAAATTATTGTGTAATGTAAAAGAACACTAAAATTACTTAAGTTTGAAACCAATTTCGGACATTTCAAGGTTTAAATAAAGTGTCGGGACAGTTTTTTTACATTTAAAACATGGGTTGCATCGGGTTTAGAGTTTATTTCTTTTGCGATGCAAAATAAGAAACACTAGGCTAATCTTATTCTTGCGACATTTTAAATTTGTATTGCCAAAGAAATTACAGCTAAATTAAACAATTAAAACCGTACAAAACGAAAATTGTCCAAAGAAACATAATTAAATAAAAAACATGCGTTTTTCTTTGCCTCTCTCGCGCTGGATCTCTTTTTAACACGTTTATTTAGTCTCCCTCGCTGCGCGCGCCGCGTCTCTCTCGAAATTAATCATTTCAGGGTAAAAACACATCATACAGCTGATAATACTGTATATGTCGCTGCACAAATCACGAAAAAATTATTTAGCCTTTAATTGTTGCTTCAAAGACACAGCATGCCTTGTTGGATTCACCTTACAATAACTTCAATTGAAATTTTGTGTGAAAAAAAAACTTAAAATAGGCTACAATAAATAAACTACAATATTTATAATTTAATAAGTAATAAGATATGGGGCCTACATTTGGACACAGATTTATCCTTACAATAATTTTGCCTGCTCATCAGGCTGGCTATCCGACACTCTCCATATGAAAGAGGAACATTAACACCTTTGTCCAGCAACTGTCCCTCCAACCCCCCACAGGCTATCGGAGTCTGAGGCTGACTTAACACAAAGAGAAGTCGCAATTCACACTTAAATCGCTATTCTAGACAGTGTTGATAATGAAGGAATTAAATGATTTAAGTTACATGTAGCCTAGTGATATTTCTGTCATAAAAGTTTATTACTAAATATTTCATTATTTCAATAATTGATGAAATAAAACTGGTTTGGGGCAGCTTTTTCCAAGCAAAACTAAATATAATCTGAAAAAACGCTTGCTAATTTGTTGTCATGAACAAAATGTTCAACTTAATATTAAAGTCTACAGGGATCTTTGGATCCTTACAACCAGGCATGCAATTTGTGAATTAAGTTTTTATTTTATTTTGTATTATTCAAATAAATATCGAAACACGGTGCTTCGTGGTAATGCTGCTAAATTAAATAACATTTATAGAATAATTATGAACTTAAATGAAACAATATCGCAACATTTCGACAAATACATTATTATGTTTTTAAATTTTAATTCAGGGCGATTTAGCCTACATTTAATTAGAGCGAGATTTTCACCCATGTCTTGTCATTTTCTCATTGGGAAGCGCATGTTTGAATAGATCCTCTGTACCTCTCGTTTTCATATGGATTAGCCTACATAATCAGATAACATTTATTAGCCTAAATATTTAGACATTTAAAGGCTTTAGACATAGCCGATTTCTTATCGTGACTGAGCTGAAGTGGCTTTCGGTTCATTTTTGTGACGCGCAGTTCCCGGAGACAGAGAGGACAGATATACTGTTTTTGTCGTTAGCCTAATATGAATACAAGTTTACAGTTTTGAACGATGTAAGCTACTCTACTCTTATCTGTATGACCAAAAAATTATGGAGTCGCCTATTAAGTTATTTTAGCTGTAATAATGAGATAAATAAATTAATCTAAATGAACGCGCCGCCGTGTTTGTCGAACACTAACTCACCATGCCAGAATAAAACCCGACTTTAGAAAAATGCATAGGGCCACTCGGCGTGGTGTGCCAAAACACTTAATTCTAAACTTCAATATTTCATTCAAAATAATCTCAACACGCTTTGTGAAATTTTGAAAAGCCGTGCATGCATTCAGGCCACTGGAACTAATGAACAACTGAAACGCTGGTTTTGATTTTATTGTTTTTCGTTTAAACGTGCCTGTTGCATATCTCTATTTTATATATTTGATATTGGTGAAGTAGCCTATATCATTGATTAGCTGTGGAGGGAGGGGTGTGGGGATTAAAATAATTCAGCAGAAGTAGGGATGTTTAGACCAGAAGGAAATCCCAGTCCCCCCTGGCAAATCACACTTTACTTAAAACCATGTTTTTAAAAACTCTAGGTTGTAGGGGACAGACCTCTCTGCCATGCGCGCGCACGGTTTGGAGCACAATATCTGTCTCGCATGCACGCTCGCTCTAGATAGATTACGGGATATTTTAACTAATTTGCGGTATAACTAGTCGATCACGAGTGGCTCAACAGGTAGATCTATAGATAAACTATATCTTTCAGGAATTTGACCGACCGGGTTGACACTTCAGCGTGAGAAATCGGGGGTGTGGCGTGAGAGCCTGGAATAAATAAATAAAAAATATATATAGCCTATATAAAACAAAACTGTATGGTGTAACAGAGTTTTAGAGCTAGACAAATCTCTCTGCAATAATAAATATAAAATTTACAGCAGACCATGTTTGTGCGGGATTTGAACCTGTGTCATCCTGATGATGAACCGTAAGTTCTACCGCTCGGCTATGAATTTTGTTACTGAGAAATATCCAAACGTTTGATTCTCACATGAGCGAGAAAACGTTTTGTCTTTAGCCTGTGAGTGTAGGCCTATTTTAGCCTTTTACAGTTTTAAAAGATTATATCTTATCTGTATGACCAACAATTTGTT